TGAGGGGACGCCGGGCCAGGTGCGGGGACGCCGGGCCAGGTGCGGGGACGTCGGGCCAGGTGCGGGGACGTCGGGACCAGGCGAGGCGACGTCTGAGCCTGGTGCGGGGACATCGGGCCAGGTGAGAGGCGCACACCTGCCAGATTTCGGCCAGCCCAGGAACCGGGAAGTCCGAGGTTGCCCAGCGGATTCTCACGCTTTCTGTCCTGGTGCACACGACCCGCTCCAAAACCAACACATGGGTTTATTGATCTCTTGACACGGTGGGCGGGGTCTCAAGATAGGTGCGATTCTTTACTCCAAATTTCTCGCTGCCCAGGTTTGGTAATAACAGTGACAGTGAATCACAGTCAGTGTGTCTTCTTAGTCTTTAGCGTTTATTCAGTCATTCCATCCCCGTGATGGACTGTAAGGTAGATACTACTGTTAAGCCTGTTTTGCAGGTGGAGACATCCTGGAACAAATAGATGAGTTAAATACTTTATTCAAAATCACGGAGCCAGAAAAGCTGAAACGAGACAATAAAGATGTAACTCTTGTGAGCAGTGTACATTTACTGAGAGAGGGAGAGGAAGAAGACACATTTGCTGCTGTCATATAGGCAGATCTGCTTGTGTGATTTAGGCTGCATCCAGAAGACAAAACAGGATGTGTGTGTGTGTGTGTGTGTCTGTGTGTCTGTGTGTGTGTGTGTGTGTCTGTGTGTGTGTCTGTGTGTGTGTGTGTGTATAGCAGAAGAGGACTGGGAAGGTGGCTCAGTGGTAGAGTGCTTGCCTTGCATGCATGAGGCCCTGGGTTCTATTCCTCAGCACCACATAAACAGAAAAACCCAGAAGTGGAGCTGTAGCTCAAGTGGGAGAGAGCTCACCTTGAGCTGAACAGCTGAGGGACAGCGCCCAAGCCCAGAGTTCAAGCCCCACAACTGACCAAAAAAAGAAAAAAGTAGCAGGAGGGAGAAAATTTGTAGTTGAATGTTTAGTTTATATCTGGTGGTTTGGAAAAGTTTTGTGAGAGATCAAAAGAGGTGATTTTATTGATTTGTTTGTTTATTTTTAGGTACTGACAAGTGAAGAAAAGTTTAGCAGGAAAATCATAAGTGCAAAAAGTGTTAAAGTTGGAATGTGCCTGGGGACTATGAAGGAACAGTGGGTGACCCAGTGTTACAAGGAGAAGTAGTAAGGGTTGGAGGAACCAGCTTGTGAAAAGCCCTAGGATCCTGACTAAGGATACTTTTCTGCTGTCAGTTGGACTCTCTGTGAATTTCCCAGCAAAAGGACAATAGGACTTATTGTATTGATATCACATCTACATTGCTACTCATACTCAGGATAGGCCAGCCTCTAGTTCTAGGAGAGATAATGATTTCTAGAATGAGAGGACTCAGTGCTTTGTAATTAATATACAGCAAGCATTCTAAGTTTATATACTTTTTTTTGTACTTAAAATGGTGATTAGCTAATGGATTATTCTTTAGAGTGTGAACAAATTGTTTTCAGCTAACTGGACTAATTTTTTATGTTGCAGACAGTGGATCTTTCTTACAGTTGCTGTTAGAAGGGGGTTACGAGGCCATACTGTTACATTCAATCACTCAAAATATTGTAAATTCAACAATGGTAACTGAAGAAAAAATTGACAGCTGCCTGGAAAAACAGATAGTCACATTCCTGGATTGCTCTGCAGATTTGGATGAAACAGAAAGGTAGAATTTTAACTGAAAATTTCATAGAGAAATAGACTTTGAACACATATATTAGCACTTAGACATAGAGACATTAAATGTCACATGAAATGTGTAAATGTCAAGCATACATGTAATCAACAACTTCTAAGGCACTGATTTTAGCAATTGTTGAAAGGCCTGGACTCATCGTATACCAGTCATCTGTGTAAAGTCACTTGTCTAGAAGATCATCATATGAAGACATAAAGGATAAAAGAATTTTGTATGAAACTGGCACATAATTAGTTGGTAACTGTGCATGCTCTGAGCTTAGCTCTGGTAGTGTTTTTTGTTTGTTTGTTTGTTTTTTGTCTGTCGTGGGGCCTGGACTCTGGGCCTGGGTGCTGTCCCTCAGCTCTTGCTCTCAAGGCTAGTGCTCTATCACTTGAGCCATAGAGCCACTTCCAGTTTTCTAGTGGTTTATTGGAGATAAGAGTTTCACGGACTTTCCCTGCCTGGGCTGGCTTTGAACAATGATCCTCAGATCTCAGCCTCCTGAGTAGCTAGGATTATAGGTGTGAGCCACCAGGCACACGGCTCTGGTAGGTTTTGACCTCAGACAAAATGTTAGATCTTATCTCCTTTTGTCTTAAACACATATCCCTTTCATCTTGTTTTTTCTAGATAACTAAGTGATACGTCTACATAATTTTATTATGTTATAGATTGTCTTTGGGGAAATTAGAAAACATTTTTTTTTTTTTTTTGGTCAGTTGTGGGACTAGAACTCTGGGTCTGGGCAATTCAGCTCAAGGTGAGTGCTTCCAGTGCCACAGTGCCACTTCCAGTTTTCTGGAAGGTTAATTGGAGATAAGAGTGGTTAATTGGAGAAAAGAGTCTCACAGACTTTCCCACATGGGCTGGCTTTGAACTGTGATCCTTAGATCTGAGCCTCCTGAGTAGCTAGGATTATAGGTGTGAGCCACCAGTGCCTGGCTAAGACTTCATGTTCTTATTGTAGAACCTTTACTTTGCCTTCTTCCACTACAGTTTATGCAATTTTAAAGGGAGACTTGTAGTGGAAAGTTACACAACAGTGAAATCTAAGCCTTTCAAGGGCTTTGATTTTATTATTGGAGATCTGTTAATATGCCTTTTCCTTTTTTCACCTATCTATGGGATAATGTCACATTTAATGATCTTGAAAACCCACTTCATTTTATTTTACCATTATATGTAAGGGGAATGGCTTTATTTAATCTTTCAACAAATAAACCAACTACTTGAGTAGTTTGTTGAGGTTGTAAAAATGAGTAAGGCACTGGGTGCTGGTGGCTCATGCCTGTAATCCTAGCTACTCAGGAGGCTGAGATCTGAGGATTGCAGTTCCAAGTCAGCCCAGGCAGAAAAGTCCTCATGAAGCAGGAAGTGATGCTGTGGTTGAAGTGGTAGAGTGCTAGCCTTGAACAAAAAGAGGCTTAGGGACAAAGCCCAGGATCTGAGTTCAAGCCCCACAACCAGGGAAAAAAAAAAAGTGTGCAATACGACCTGTATTTTATTTTATTTTGTCAGTTGTGGGGTTTGAACTCTGGGCCAGGGCGCTGTCCCTCAGCTCTTGAGGGCTCTATCACTTGAGCCACAGTACCACTTCTGGTTTTCTAGTGATTTATTAGAGATAAGAATCTCATGGACTTTCTTGACTCTAGTGGCTTTGAACCGCGATCCTCAGATCTCAGCCTCCTGAATAGCTAGTATTATAGGTGTGAGCCACTGGCACCCAGTGCCCTCGTCATTCTTGATTCTTATTTTGCTCTTTGATGTGTTTGCACTTTTCTAGCAGCTAGCCTTCTCAGGGAATTCTCTCTATCAAACTCATGCACAGAAATGCATTACTCATTAAGAGATGAGAACTCTCTTAAAAAGAATCAACTCAACTTGGGGCTGGGAAGGTGGCTTAGTGGTAGAGCGCTTGCCTTGCATGCATGAGGCCCTGGGTTCAATTCTTTAGGACCACATAAGCAGAAAAAAAAAAAAAGGTGGAAGTGACACTGTGGCTCAAGTGGTAGAGTGCTAGCCTTGAGCTGAAGAGCTGAGGGACAGCGCCCAGGCCAAGAGTTCAGGCCCCACGACCGGATCCTACCCCAAAAAAAGAATCAACTCATTTGACTCATTTTGGTGCATTTGCAATCTAAAGCATATTCTCAGTTAACCTTAAAGATTTTATTTTATACTTAGTGGTATAAAATAAACTTTATAAAATAAAAAAATATAACTTTCTGCACATGCATTTTCTTCGCTGTTTTCTTACTTCTATTTATAGATGGGTTCTTTGTTATTTTTCACAAGTGCTACATATTCTTTGCTGTCAAGCCTGTTGCACTGATGACTTTATATTCTGAGTATCACAGGTCTTATTTTTTAATCCTAAAATTCTTTTTGAGGAAGTTCCTAGGAGTCATAGAAGAGAGTGTCACTTTCTCTTCAGAATGAAACTCTGGAATTCCCTAGCTATTAATTAATTAATTAATTCCCTGTTCATACACTAAATGTAAGTTTGAAAAGCCACATATGGATCATAGTTGCAACATTGGACATTACAGACCTAACTTGTCTTAAATCCCAGATAGTGTGAATTAATATTGCTTTCTTTTCCTTTTTCTTAATTTTTTTCAATTTAGATTTTTTCATCTATTTTATTTATTTTTTAAATTAACAATGCTTTCTATTTCTTAATAAATCTGAAATTAGCTGGGTGCTGGTGGCTCATGCCTGTAATCCTAGCTACTCTGGAGGCTGAGATGTGAGGATCACAGTTCAGAGTCAGTCTGGGTAGGAAAGCCTGTGAGACTCTAATCTCCAATTAAACCACCAGAAAACTGGAAGTGGCTCTGTGACTCAAGTGGTAGAGCACTTGCCTTGAGCTGAAGAGCTCAGGGACAGTGCCCAGACCCAGAGTTCAAGCCCCACGACCAACAAAAAAAAATCTGAAATTAAATATTATGTTTGTGATTCTGGTTTATATCTTTTCTTAACTATTCTTTATGCAGACAGCAGCTGGTCTTCTTGCTTGGTGTGAGCAGTTTGCAGCTCTTCGTCCAGAGCAACTGGACTGGCCCTCCTACGTACTCGTATCCTCAGGAGATTCTGTCGTCTCTCTTATTCCAGCAGTTCAGTGAGGTATGCTTCTCAACAATCCACATGCAGCCACTGTTGTATTAGTTATTCTTTGTTGTTGTTGTTGGTTGTCGTCCTTAATCTCTGGCATGGGCACTGTCCCTGAGCTCTTTTTTGCTCACAGATAGCAATCTTCACTTTGAGCCATAGCACCACTTCTGGTTTTCTGGTGGTTAACTGGAGATGATGGGCTTTCCTGCATGGGTTGTGTTGAACCGTAATCCTCAGATCTTAACCTCCTGAATAACTAGGACTATAGGCGTGAGCCACTGATGCTGGCCAAGAAATAGTTTTGAAGGGAGTTCTTTTCTCTCTGCTTTGTCTGAAGCCTCTGGAGGAAGCACACTAGAACTCAGTTGGTGGGGTTGGGAGAAATGAGATAGACAGAAGGAAAGAGTGATCATGAATCAAGATTGATTATGATGAATTGTACTGCCTTTATACAACTACTCTTTTTTTTTTTTTGGTCCAGTCATGGGGCCTAAACTCTGGGCCTGGGCGCTGTCCCTCAGCTCTTCAGCTCAAGGCTAGCACTCTACCACCTGAGCCACAGCGCCAGCCACTTCCAGCTTTTTTTTCTTTTTGCTTATGTGGTGCTGAGGAATTGAACCCAGGGCCTCAGGCATGCAAGACAAGTGCTCTACCACTGAGCCACCTTCCCAGCCCCTATACAACTACTTAAAGATAATGAAAATATAACTTAAAATAAAAAGAACTCAGTGGGAATATTAGGGTTATGTCTCAGAGGAAGGGACACAAGCAAGTGTCTATCTTTTCCCCTGTTGTGGTCACTCAGTGATTGCCTGTATTCCTTGCCTTATTTGTTAGGCAAAGGCTATCTGTTATCTGTGATGCTAGTACCTGGTTCCTGTGGATAAGAATTTCTTTTCCTTGGGGCTGGGAAGGTGGCTCAGTGGCTCACGCCTATAATCCTAGCCGTGAGCTGAAGAGCTGAGGGACAGCGCCCAGGCCCAGAGTTCAGGCGCCATGACCAGACCCCCCCCCCAAAAAAAGACCTATCATCAATAGCTATAGATAAGGATCTGTACAAGCTAAATAAAAAAGAATTTCTTTTACCTATGTTGTGGCAGCTGTTAACATTCTTTAGTTCACATTTTATAAACATAGGTGCTTTATCCATGTGGAAAATCTCTATTCAGAGAAAGAGACTTCTCAAAGGCATCCTGCTTTTGGAGCCATCCTTTTCACCTCTAATCTATGTTACATGAGTACTTAGATTACTTTATTTATTTTATTTTTTTATCTCATATTTTTCATATTTATGACTGAACTCCTGGTGAAGTTCTTGTGTTTGTTCCTCATTTACCCAGGGTTAGACTGGGTCTTACTCTTTTTTGTTGTTGTTGTTGGTCGTGGGGCCTGAACTCTGGGCCTGGGTGCTGTCCATCAGCTCTTCAGCTCAAGGCAAGTGCTTTACCTTTTGAGCCACTTTGTCACTTCCGGTTTTCTGATGATTATTTGGAGATAAGAGTATGATGGGACTCTTGGGGCTGGCTTTGAACTGCGATGCTCAGATCTTAGCTTCCTGAGTACCTAAGATTATAGATGTGAGCCACCAGGGCCTGGCTGGGTCTTGCTCTTGTAGGCCAGACTGACCTCAAATTTATGATTCTTCTGCTTGGCACTTGATATATTAGACTTGGTTGATGATTTGGCTTGATGGCATTTGTGGAGTGGAGACAGCTTTGTAACAATCTTTACCATCTAGTGAGGCATAAGTGAAATGTAAGCTAAATTCTGTTGCAGACTAGTTAATGATATGGTATTTTATTGTAGGTGAATCTATGAAGTGATGGGACTAGTTCGTTGCTAGCATTTTCTTCCCTATTTCTTTTTTTAATTGTTACTATAAAAGTGATGTACAGAGGGATTGTAATTACATAAGTCAGGTAATGAGTACATTTCTTTTTGGACAGTGTCACCTTTTCCCTTGTACTCGTGGTTTTTCCCTCCCATTTCCACTCACAGGTTGTATAGTTTACTTTCTTTTTTTTTTTTGGGTCAGGTCATGGGGCCTGAACTCTGGGCTTGAGCACTGTCCCTAAGCTCTTCAGCTCAAGGCTAGTGCTCTACCACTTGAGCCACGGCGCCACTTCCGGCTTTTTTCTTTTTGCTTATGTGGTGCTGAGGAATCGAACCCAGGGCCTCGAGCATGCAAGGCAAGCGCTCTACCACTGAGCC